TCTATATAATTTCCACTCACATTATAATCAGCACACATCGATTAACTATTAATTAGCCAGTACACACGTAATTATCTCCACATTTAAGTCATTTCTCTCGAACCCAATCTTTGCTCAGACGTTTCAATACGTACTCCAATCTCTCAAATGATTCACTGAAATTTCAACTTTAGAAAATAACAATAAAGTTGAAAATTGAATTTGACAAAGAGGTGTAGATTGCCCTGACCTGCATGCATCTGTACAAACACATATTTGCAATGATCTCGAAAACTACTGCACACAAACCGATAATTCGTTCACCGTTGTGCAATTTACTGGTTTCCGTTGAAGATATTTGACGATGCTTAATGAGGTTGAATATAGAAAGTAAAGCAAATTATTAAGGTTTGGACAATGATGGGTGTACATTATTATACAATTTGTGTTATTAAGGTCATAATATTACGTGATATAATGACGTTTATAAAATAAATTAAATCTGTTTTTGATTGACTTGCTTTTTCAATCGTCAATATTGTACAAAGCAACATCGACCCTTTACCTTTTATTACTATGAGCCCCTATTAATAGGGGGTAAACCTTTAACTGTACTAAGAATTCTCCAATAACACTTTCGACCCTGGAATTTAACCTCAGATCTTTTAACACTTGCTACCATCAGTACCGTCTTTACCATGACTTGGCATTACCATGACGGGCACTCGGGGCCCGGGACCAGGGCTTCATCCTCAAGGGGGCCCGATGGACCGAGAATTTCTACGACAGACACATACCATATTCGCAATTCATAAATTGTTGTTCCGGGTCTAGGTGTCACTCGTATGTTTGTAAACGCACCCACGATACAGGAGAAAAGCCTAGCCTGGGGCTACGTAAAAAAAAAACATTGTAAAACCGCCTCGAATGCGTGCCCAAGGGCCGCAGCGTATACTAGACGGCTCTGGCTACCACTCGAACAATGAAACAGTAAATTCAGCCATAATCTTGATATTATAATTTAAAAACCATCATAATCCTTCAATAGTACAAAAACAACCAAAAATTATCTTTTTGAAAAAAGTTTTGGGTTTATTGGTCCATTAAAATCCCCATGCTGAGTTAATAGATTATGGTTTATCATGGGAATGACTATTAATAACTTATTTTTTGTAATAACCTATTTTTTATAATGACCTCTTTTTTGTTCACAGGTGAGTGATGGTGTTTCTATGGGGTTTTAAAGGTAATCTGTGTATTTAGATAGTAATGAAGAACGCTATGGTGTTTTTAGATTATAGTTTTTTGTTTGAACTATTGATTTATTGTTTAATCAACGATTGGTTTTGGTTTTAATACGTTGATATTTTGTACCGAAGATTCCCAAAATTTGTTCATACAAAAGTAGTTTCTAAAGATAGTAAATAAGATCTATAATGGAATAAGTGGAGAGCGGTCACCGGTGATGGCTTTGGGAATGAACCGTTTAAAGTGTAGAATAGGTTGGATCTTTGTTAGTTTATATAGTTCATAATGTTAATAGCGGTTTTGATGGATATCAATTTAAGTAGGATAAAAAATACGCAACTTTCCTTAAAATAACAATTTACATAGTTAATACTTTTTTTTGCTGTATAAGTGAGAATTACTTTATTTTTAAGGGTGTTGCGTGTAACCATCATATACGTTTATTGGTTCAAACAAATTTTTATGCGCTTGCGTCTATCATTCAGGAAATAACTGACATATTACATTATTATTTTAATCTGTCAAACACCAAGCGGTCACCGGTGACCGCGACCTATTGTTCTTTAATTGTGTCTATAAAACCGGTACTCGACGAGTTAATATCTTTATCCACAATAACGTCCAGTACACACATCCTTAATTCACAATTTAAACGCGCGAGTAACCACAAGAAATCCGGCCTTACCCGGTGATGTGCACACACACTTACATGATATCCTTTCTTATTCAAATACGGACCTATGAATAAGTGAACAATGTCAAAATGGATGGACTATGAATAAGAACCGTATAAGCAGAGAACGAACACGTTTTAATATTGTTTACAATATGTTTCGTATCATAAAACTTGGTTTATTTCTTTGAGTACAATTGGTTAAATCATTTTCGTATTAATGTGTTATTTAATATGGATGTCAGATCCGTAAAAGTCGAGAAAGTTGTTTGATTTTTGATAATAGATGTAGAATGCTGTTGATTGAAATTATGAAGGTTTTTCTAGTACAAATATGGAACTCAATGCAGGTATAAAATTGGATGTATTATCAAAGAATGGAGTCGTATAAAAATGTGAATTGCTATTGTTGAATTGCTACATGATATATTATTGTTTTGTTATTGTCAAAAATGGAGACTTCCACGTTTGTCAAACTGTTATAGATCTTTTTTATGCTTCTGGATTTGGATTAAGTAATTTTGTAGTAAAGAATGCTTCCAAGCCAAGATATTAAACATTAAAATTTAGTCATATTGTAATGTTTTCTGTCTTCGCTCGTTATTTTATTCGTATCGTATATTAGAATTTGTGAATCACTTGGTTAAAGGGTTTGTTATCCTTTTCAGAGATTTAAAGATTCCACTTGGACTGATTCCCAAATCAAGTTTATTGTATTTAAAAACCAACAAGACCATAAAAAGTGTGTCAATCTACTTAGTAGATTAACGGAACTATTAAAGTTAAGACACAATTAAAAACCAAACTTAATTCTAAATCTTGATACCACAAACATACTACATTTAAGGCTCAAGAAAACCGGATTAATTAAGCACATATTAATTAATAAGCTTAACAATAAACCCAAAACCACATGCAGAAGCCATTAAAAATGAGAAATTAAATAATCTGTTGTTCGCATTCACACGATAAAGCCTACTACGATTCCGTGCGCCCGTTGCTCGTAACTCATATTTAAATTTTATTATCACTCAAATATCCTTTTGGCTACGCAGGAGTATTATAATGTTATGAGAGCTGTAACTTCTACATTATCTTTACGACTGTGGCGATCGGCCCAAGATAGCAGCTAAAAGAGGATAAACAATTAAACATGTCGCCCATCACATCGAAAGTGATGTTGCTATTCAACAGTTTCTTACATGGTCTGCAACGCCCCTAAGATATCACGAGATGCAGGTGTACTTAAGCTACGGTACTTTTTTTTCGTTTGAGGACGTAAATCATCCTATGATTTCTCCCGCCTTTGGTGAGGTGAGAGGGAGTGTCAGATTCTTACTGACTAAAATCCATCCTGTTCCTACTTCAGCACTTCGAGCCGGAGCCCCAGTTACCCGTTAAGTCAGTACCCAGTAAAGTAACAGCCTTTCTGGACATCTGTGGTGGTCTGATAGATCTTTGAGGCGCGCACGGCATGCGACGCGCCGACCGCTCGAGTCTGGTTCTGGTCGGGCGGTGAATTACCCGTGCTCACTGTCCGCAGGCCTATGCTTACAGTGGCCGATGATCGTCTCGAATGTTAGTATCATGTAGTTAGGATAGAGTAACATACATTTGTTTCACTACTCATACTGTTCCCGCAGATGTCGTACGAAGCAAAAAAGAGACTACGATTTGACAGAGTCCAGGCAGTTAGTAGCGCTTGCTGATAGACCTGAAACTATAACTGCGATTTCTGATATAGTAGTTCTGATCGGTAATTTTCTTTCTATGTAAATGCACTTAAGACCAAATTCAATCTCAAACTATGTCCTACCAAAATAATGCACTAACATTTATGAGAAATATTCAAAGTTTTCGTCTTAATAAGATCCATTCTTTAAAGACATTTCAACTTCGATCATATACCAGTTTTCTATGACTTGTGCCACTCCCCCATGGCCATAAAAAGGGATGAGCAGTGAAAAAGACATCAGGACGCGAGATTCCGTGGAGGTGCGAACCGATCACACAGTCACCGTTTACGACCTTCTAGATTTATTGCACAATATGTTTATAAGTTTATCACAAACTGTATATCAATCGGTTTTACAGATCACTTTTAATTAGTCATTTTGATATTTTATTTGTTTACATTTTGATTGATGATAGTTGCATACAATGTGTTTATGAGCATGTGTGTGTGTGTGTATGTGTGTAAAATTAAAAAATTAAAATATTTGCTTTTCAACTAAACTGTGTTTTAATTTCAATTAAAATGCAAGATATTCAGTTGTCGAATACGAGTCGTAATAATAGGCTTTATTTAATACTGATGATTTCAAATCAAAAGTATGACTGTAATAAAACAAATAAGTAAGAGACAATTAAAAACCAAGACAACTCTAACTTATCACAAAAAACTGGAAAATAAAAACTGGGGTAGGCAATATTTTTCTGCGACGACACTGGCACAAAGATCCATTGGCGTTATGAGGGTTGAAAGAGGGATGAGTTCCACCCTCCTTGCTGAACTACTCATCCGTGAGGAATGAACACTGATTAGCAGTATTGTTGTTTATTCTCTGATAAACGTAGGTAATGAGATTAATGATGTAAGTGAAAATTGGGATAAGTTAATAAAAATTGTAGTTTTCCGGGATTTCTTTTTTTGTACTGCAATGTTAATACTGCATTGCATAGTGGCCTGGCAATCGGTTGCAGCGTAACGTATGTCAGGCTCGGTCCAAGAAACGACACTTTGTTTAACCCTTAAAAGTGTAGATATATAATCACTTGTAAGAACTCCACCTCCATTGCTTAGCACAGGATTTCTGTACTGACCCTTATTTCATCCATTCATGCAAGCATACATTCTGCACTCCACCAATAACAACATCCATAAACAAACAGAACCGAGTCACATACCTTTACAACTACAACAGCACCGGAGATCGCCAGTTACCCCGTAGACACAAGCAAGTAATCTTCTAAAGGTGCGTCTACATCTGACGAATGTGCCGCAAATGTGGAGCTCGCCGCGCCTTTCTCGTCAAAGAGCCATCAGACCACCACAGATGGGGCCCATTAGGGCCAATGCCGATTCGGAGTCGCGGAGAACCTAACGGGTAACCGAGGCTCCGGCTCGACGTGCAGGAGAAGAAACGGGGTGGTTTTTAGTCAGTAAGAGTCTGACACTCCCTCCCGCTTCACCTAGGCGGGAGGAGTCATACGATGATTTTCCCCTATTAAAAAAAATGTGGAGCTCGCGAGCCGCTTGTGAGCCGCCCGCGCTGTGCGCATGTATCCACTGCAATGGTTTGGCGCGCCTCTTTAATGCAACTCATACAACGTACGTATAAATACTAATTTTAAATACACGCGCGCACTCGAACGGCTCTCGAGCAGCACATTCGCCAGATGTGGACGCATCCTAAGAAAACCGCAATTCACCTTTGTATTCAACTTAAATCCTTCCTCTATTATTAAGTTTAGACTTGGCTTGAACCATCGCTTCTTTGTACACCTTCAAAAGCATTCCAGAGTTACCAGCAAGAGCTAAATTCCTCATACATTTCACCAATATAAATGCGGAACTAATAAAATATGCAAGTTACATGGTTAAACAAAATGCTATGAAATTGTTAGTTGCTGCAACGTGAATAGGTTGTTACATAAATAAATTATTGTTTGTTTATTCGCGTCGTTGCTGGTTCTTTTGAAGTTGCAACAAATGACGTGCAACGTGTTGTAGTACGTGTTTAGCGAGCTGTAGATAAATATGGTTTGTTTTGTAGTATAATTAAGTGGATGGTGTCTACTTTGTTTCATTTGTCGTTTTCAGTACTATGTTGAGGGACTATAAAACTATAAAATATAAGGTCGCCTTGTACGTGTTTATAGAGTTATAGTAAGTTCTCAGTGTTCTCGGGTTCGGATGTATAAGATATAACTGCTACACGGTCTTTGTTAAATAAATAGTCCTTCAACTAGAATGAAGGTTTCTGACTGTGATAAAAAATATCTACTTTTAAACTGTCAAACACCAAGCGGTCACCGGTGACCGCGACCTATTGTTCTTTAATTGTGTGTTCTGTTCTTTAACATAACATCACGCCTTTTATCCCCGAAGAAGTACGCAGAGGTGCACATTATGCCACTACAATGTAACACCCACTATTCACTATTAATGTTATGAGTCCCATGTAATAGGGGGTGAGCCTATTGCTATATACCGGGCATATTTCCAGACTCCGTGCTACTACTGAAGTTTTTTACAAACCCAGTAATACTTTGCCCGACCCGGGAATCGAACCCGAGACCCCTTGCCCGGCAGTCGCACTTGCGACCACTCGGCAAAATGAATGTAATGAGGCACTCATATATCTACTTTTATAAGTCTTAATATAAAATGGTCTATCTCCGGTCATGTCGGTCTGCCATCCTATCGGGTTCAGAGAATGAGGGAACAGAAAGTGCACCTGTGTTTGCGCACACACTTGTGTACTATAACATCTCCTGCGTAGTAAACTAGTCTAGTTAGACAGACTGGCCACAATCGGGAGATGTATTCTAAACCGGTTAGTAATCAACTACAAGAGTTACATGCCGATATTTCATTTCTTTGAGACAACAGACTATATTCTATAAAAAAACCAAACAAAAAAGACCTAAATTATATAAGAATTAAGTTACAAAGACAAATAACTAGCCATTATGGTTTTTTATGGCTTAAGCCGGTAAACGAACAGACGGATCACCTGATGGTAAGCAATCGGCGTCGCCCATGGACACCTGGAACACAAGAGGCGTTACAAGTGCGTTACCGGCCTTTTGGGGATTAGGAGTTTGAGGATCGTTGGGGATTCAGGAATTGGGGAGATTGGGGAATGGGAGGGTAATTGGGCCTCCGGTAACATCACTCACACGACGAAACACAACGCAATGGTCAGACAAAACCAAAACTATATCTCTTTGATGTTTTCTTTCATTGGAGTTTTCAAAATAGTTTTTTTTTTGTTCATTGTTATATCGAACTTAGTCATTAGCAAACGTCTGATAGTTTGTCCTTATATTTTGGTATTTCACTTTGAAAAGCGTCTTCGGACTTCATTAATTAGAAGGTTGTTTGTAATGAGATTTCGTAATAATATTGAGTTGTTGTTTTAAGTAGTTTTCGCCTTTGATCGTAAATTATGTATTTGTTTGTGTGTTGATGTAACTTGTTTATTATTTTAGTTATTATTTAGCTATTAAATGAAGAGCTAAACATACACAAGAAACTTTTGAAATTAAAAATTCTAGATAACGTAAATGTGGTAGGCTTTGGATCTGTATTTTGTATAATTAATTATAATATTAATCGTCTAAGATAATTCTTAGACAGTTGTTTACACTGAAAACATGTATTTCATTTATTTGCATAGTTTATCAACATAATATTTAATATTTTTTTGTTTTGAAATAATTATTTATAGACTTAGGGCCGATTTTTCAATCGTCAGTTAATTCTTAACTGTAGAATAAAATTGACATTTGACAGTTATAGGTATGGAAGAAATGTCAATTACTCAAATTTATTCTTCACTTAAAATGTATCTGGCGTTGCAACATCGGCCCTTTATAAATATTGTCACACAATTTCAATCGATGTAAACAATGCAATGAAAATTAAAAGCAAAAACAAAAGCCATAAAGTCCAACATAAAATGCAACACAGTATTATTAAAAATATGGTTATCTAAATAATCCTCTAATCCCCGTTTAATAAGGTCAAATATTGTAAAACAGTGACTTTTGGTTAGAACGCTAATCAATGTAGATGTTGAGGGTCGAAATCCTATTAATTCAGGACTCTAATATACCCCGATGTTTTGTATGAAAACGGTCAAAAGAGATTTGATTAAGCAGAAAACGTTGCCTTTTTAACCCTTATTGGAAGGTCTAAAAAGTTGGCATTGCGGTTCGTACTTAATCACGAGGAATTTTCTAATGAAATTCCTTTACGAGTCCCTTAGAATTTATATAATTTTGGTTAAAGAGTTTATTTTCGATGTACGACTAACTTCATTTTAGGGATTTCGTCTAAAATAACAGGTGGTGATTTTTGATGTGTTGTAATATTTTTAAGGTGAATAAGTTTAAAAAGAATTTACATTGACTACTTAGTCTTTGTAATTTTCCGGTGTGTTATTGTCTTATGGACTGATTCAGTGAATTAATCTTGACTTTGTTAAAGGCTATAAATAGCACGTGCTACTATTACATAATAGTATCAATTTTACTCTTTTGTACTTTGTAACAGAAATAATCATTTGCACAATTCCTAATCAACAAAGAATGTACCAAAGTTTCAACAATAGATAGTCCAAAATCGACACTAGCGCCACGCTCTAGCTGTTACCCTTTACGCACGGGGCATCAAACATGGCTCGACGTGGCAGACCGTGTAATTGTTGCGCCACATCTTCCTACAATGCCTTGGACATTGTATATGTAGATTTTGAATAGTATCTACATTGTTGTATCAATATTCTGTGTTAAGTTTTGAGAGACATACTTTAGTATTCATTCCACAGTTAAGTTGTTTAAAATGATTTTGTAATATAATATGGAAAGTTTCTGTTTGTAGTGTCAAGAGAGTGAAGATAAACCTATCACTAAAATATAATGACACCGATTTGTTTGATAATAATCTACATTAATTTTTAACCTACTTCTTGAAAGTATTGTTAGGATAGTGTCGTGGTGGCCCGGAGATTAAGACGCCCGCTTTTCATACATGAGGGTGCTATTCAAAACCTACAAACGGCAAGTACCAATGTAACTATTTCCTAGTTATATGTACCTTCTAAGTTTATTTAGGCACCACCGGCAACGGTGAAGGAAAACGTCGTGAGTAAAACCTTTTTTTTTGAGGGGGGAAAATCATCCAATGACTTCTCCCGCCCGGGTGAGGAGAGAGGGAGTGTCAGACTCTTACTGACTAAAAACCACCCCGTTCCTACTCCTGCACTTCGAGCCGGAGCCCCGGCAACCCGTTAAGTCTTCCGCAGCTCCGTATCGGCATCAGCCCTGTTGGGTATCGTGAGGAAACCTGGACTTATAATTATAAGTTTGAAATCACAGTGAGCAAGCGTGGTGTTTAATGCTCAAACCTTCTCCGTGTAGGAAGAGGCTTTGCTCAGCAGTGGGCACTTATAGGCTGTTGATGATGATGATGATACTTTGAATACCTATGTACTACATCATAACTGGACAGCAGTCAGATATTTATTAGCCTTGCATGATTAAATACGTAAGTGCTACGTGACTATTAAAATCCTCACTACGCTTCTGTAGTCCATCTAGCTTCATTACTTTGTTTCCTACATATTCCAACATTATCCAAGTAAAAACCTGTTCATAATCAGCCAATAAAAAGAAAAGGAATATTTTAAAATCCACACCTTTTTAATTAAAGAACTCTTTACTAAAATAATAATATTTTATTATACAATTCATAACAACAGTGACGAATTCTAAGAATCACTCTGTTTCATAAAGTCGTGCTGATGCACACTGAGTGCGAATTATTTTTCTACGAATTTTTAAAGCAGAGTTCTATTTGTTTTGTAATTACGACTAAACGGTGTGTTATCCTGATGTAAATTTACAACACACATTTTTTATAGGATTATAATTTGTTATATTTTTAGATGGATCTTTTTGGCATAAATTAAGTGTGTAATGTCAGAGTCATCATTCAGAATTACTCAGACTACTGTGGAATCAGAATCATACTGCCTCGTTGGCCGAGAGCTCGTAAGTGCGACTACCGACAAAGGGTCTCGGGTTAGACTTCCGGGTCGGGCAAAGTACAAATAGGATATTTAAAATTATTCGCAGTAGTAGCACGAAGTCTAAAATGGTGCCCGGTGTATCGTGGCAATAATAGGCTCACCCGTTACATACATAGTGAAATGTGAGTGTTACATTATACAGTGGTATTAAATGCCATAATGTACCTATGCTTACTACCCTTTTAGGGGATAAAAAGTCGTTGTGTTATAATTATATACGTTATGATTACACATATATACAAACAATTGTTTTCCCATTCATGGAGTAGAAAATGTGACGCTATATTGTAGTGATAACATAATCGTCACTTATGCAATTTTGATCAATTTTAAAATTAACTTAATCTATCCTCGACTTGGTTATACGTTTATTAAAGTACAGGAATGCTTTTCGTTTTCACTAGCACTTATCTCTATCAATTATGCACCTTCTCTTTGTCTAATTAGAGTTCTTTTTCAGTAGTAAATTACTGCATAAATGGTGGAAGCCAAAGTAGTTTAGAATGAGGATAAGACACGAAACTACTAACATCGTTTCTTCAACAGTTTTTCTTTTCGTTACTGGGAAAATATATTAGATAAAATTAATGTACTTATAATGTGTTCGCGTTAACAATGCAGTGAGTCATCTGTAAAATTATAAGATAAAGGTGTATTCTATAAAAGATTAAGTGTACTTAATTTAGGTATAAAAATAAACTTTTTAGTTAAGTTTACTTAGTTTAGGACATGATGACTTACTACATTCTTAACGTGAATGCACTATAGTAATTGACGATTGACTATAATACCGAATTGTGTTGTATTTATTGCTTCCTCTTGTGTATTTGTTTATTTGTTCTTATGTATTTGTGCTTGTAATAATCATAAAACAAAATATAAATCCCATTTCACAAAGATAACTTATACTCTTGCTACTGATGATTGTTCTCAGTGGATTATTGTATTTATCGAAATATCAATGCTTCAAAAAATACCACTAAATAACACTATCCATCCTGAAAATCAAACCCATGTCCCCTTGATTCCGCGGGCCTGCGGACGGCGAGCATGGGTGGCTCACCGACCAGAACCAGACCCGAGCGTGCGGCGCGTTGCGTTCCGCGCGCGCCTCAAAGTGTCATCAGACCACCACGGATGGGGCCCAATAGGGCTGATGCCGAAACGGAGTTGCGGAGAACCTAACGGTTACCGGGGCTTCAGAATGAAGTGCAGGAGTAGGAACGGGGTGGTTTTTAGTCACTAAGAGTCTGACACTCCCTCCCAACTCACCCAGGCGGGAGCAGTCAATCGATGATTTTGCCCCCTTAAAAAAAGTCTCCTTGATCCAGAAGCGTTTGTTACCAACGAGACAAAAATTAACATTTACAAAGTTACCATTCAACAAGAACATAATTAGAGCAAAACAAAAATAGATTAACACGACCTTTATAAAAAATGTAAAAACTCCCAAAAAAGTTTGTAAAGCGTATCCATTCATCCCTGCTAATGGGATTAGGAACAACGGCTATAATCCTGCTTATCCAGTTTTCATAAATCCTGACATGTGACCTTTACGTCTATTTATAATTGCACATCTGTCCTTGCATAGGAGATAGAGGTTAGTTTTAAACCCTAGGATTAGTGAACGTGGATATGTCAGGGGTGTATTTATGGATGTGTATGAAGATTTATTGTATTTTATGTTGTTTCTACCCTTGTGATGGGAATTTGTTAGAAGTATTGTGTAACTATGTTTTTTTTATTCCATTTTAATTTTAGGGACTTTTATACCGCACAGCGTATGTCAGTCCCATCGTAACCTAATAAGGTAATTGTGTAACTACCTCTATGTTCTCGGTAGTATCTCACACTTCGGTCTCGCGTAGATGTCAAGCGATTTGAGACAGATCTTTGTAGATTATGTGTCTTTTTTACGAATTTTACAGAAGCATTTATTTACAAAAGCTTTTTACGATTAACGAATTTGTTTGTGTTTGACGATAATTTACAAAAAATAGCATCTGTTTTGTTTAGTTCGGGCACTTTCCTACGTTTCGTTTAAAATCCAAAAAACTTCACACCAAAATTCAACTAACAAAATAAACAGTCTCAACACAAACATTTTAATACCAATCGACACTTTGTTCAGATGCGAGTGTCATTATCTACAAAATGTTCCACTTCATTCAAAGGTTAAAATTAGTCTCTATTGCTATCGCCAGATGCCGCTACTCGTTATGCAAGCCATTGTCACCCACTTTCAAACAATTCCTTATCATTACCTAAGTGCTTGGCAACTTAGATAACAGCACATAATGTTTTAGCACCCATGGTACGACTGCAGTAAGGGAAAATGTTTACGCTAGTCGGTACTTTCTTAAAGCTGATTCCGATTTCAATAGAATTAATTCTGTAGAGGATGTCTAAACGTTGGTTCAGTTTGTTATACGTTTCATTATAGGAGACTGAGTCTTAAGAACAACAAATGGAACTTATGATTCATATCTTTGATTTTGTAATTTTTAAAAAGGATAGTTAATAACAACTCCAATACAATAAAGTAATAAGATCAATATACGATGATTTTTTTAAATATATTTATTTTATTATGCGAATCATGTCTATTATTCAGTGTAATTACAAAGTTTCGAAAGAATAATAAGAAAACAACGTCCTTAATAATCACTACATAGCATAAAACAAAGTCGCTATCCACCGTCTGTTCGTCCCTATGTATGCTTTGATCTTTAAAAGTACGCAACGGATTTAGATGCAGTTTTTTTTAATAGATAGCGTGATTCTTAAGGAAGGTTTATACATATAACACATGCATATTGCACCCGTGCGAAGCCGGGGCGGGTCACTAGTTCTTTTATCGGGTCACTAGTTCTATAATAGACTGCATTTAAAAAAAATACTTCAATCCGCTCAATCAATTTTTTGCAGTGGCATAATATAGGTACTAAAACTTTATTCTAAATGTAACAAACGTTTTTCTGTAAACCGCATCATCGATCGGTCATAAAATCGATTCAGCAAATCGAACAAAAACATTCATAAGGTGACAGGTTGAACTGAGAACCTCCTTCTTGTTTTGAAGCCAGTTAAAAGATCTTAAAGATGGGCGTAGATGGAGTTGCAACTGGTCATCGACATTTCAGAATTAGATTGTATCTTTAAACAGCGTCTGAAATATAAACCAATGTTTTATCGGCTTTGAAACAACATTTATGTTGTTTAAATCAAACATGTGATTAATGTGTTTGAGATGTTCAAATGTGCATGCAATGAGATAGATACGTATTGTTGAAACAATGACTTATCAGTCATTATTTGTAACTACTAAATAGGTTGAAAAAGGCAGAAAGATAATGCTATAGAAGAACTTTTGGCTCTTTTGCTTTTATTATTTCCAATTTAAGATTATAAAAACTTCTAGATAAAAGAACCATGATTACCTTTCAATATTTGAATGTTCTGTTAGTTTCACATCACATCACTCATCAACAGTCTATATGTAAGTGGCCACTACTGACCAAAGGCCTCTTCTCACACGGAGAAGTTTTGAGCACTAATCACTACGCTTGCTCAATGCAGGTTGGCTAATTACACCCAGGTTCTTTCACAAAGTTGTCCTTCACCGTTTGTCAGTGGTGTCTGAATAATTTTAAGAAGTACATATAACTCAGAAATGGTCACATAGGTACGTATCTGCTGTTGGTAGGTTTCGAACCTGCACTCTCATGCATGAGCATCGGGCGTCGTTAACCTCCAGGCTAAAACGATACATTCAATATCGGATTAAACAAAGAAATTCTAAGTTTCAAAGACTTGATTATACGAAAGCCGTTTTAAGCTTCTTTGCAAAATCTAACCGTTATTTAAATAAGCAAGCAAAGATCAACCCAAACCCAATAGCGATCCAAATAAAGAACATTAAAATTCACCAAAGAAACTATTAAGGAAATCCCTAATGAAGTAACTCGAAACCTAATTAAGGCTAAAAAGATGTTCTCAACAAACCATTTGCAACTTAATTATACCCTGAATTACTACAGAAGCTCATTGACTCTATAACACTAAAAATAATGAATGTAATAATTTAATTAAACAGTGTTACCAAAAACTAATTGAAATATAAACATCGTTAGTTATATCAGTTACACAAAAATTTACTACCGGATGGTTTTGATGTGGGTATTTTGAAAAAAGCGACGCACGCCAGCTGCGCGCACGCAGGGTACAACGATCTGTTTATTGTAAGGTAGCATGTGTGTCTGTTTATGTTGCGTTGCGTTTCGCGGCCATGTTTATCTGGTGGGTTTTTTGGTATCATTTGAGATGGTTGTGATAAGTTGTAGTTGTGGACAGGGTAATGTTATCCCTGATTTATTTTGTATCTAGAAATAGAAGAGGAAAAGGCTCTAATGAGGTGGTGTTTCCGTGTGATAAAGTTTTGTTTTGTTTAGCTATGGCTCGTATATTTTTTTGGTGCCATGAAAACCAAGACCACATCATACATGACTGCACGGTTGGTGCGGAGACTGGGTAACTGGCTGCCGTGCAACGTGTCGCGGGTTCGATTCTCGCACGGAACAATACTTGGTGTGATCCACAAATTGTTGTTCCGGGTCAGGATGTCATTGTGTATGTGAACTTGTATGTTTGATATCGCACCCACGACACAGGAGAACATCCTAAAGGGGGGCAACGTTCTTTTAACAAAAAAATACTTTTCAGCTTCTTAACAACAAGTTACAGACCACACACAAATTATGCTTTATGAAAACCCAAAAAATTATTTTACGCAGCTGGCGATCGAAAAGAGGACCTCTGAGTTTGTTATTTTGGCATTTCTTCTCAGAGTAGTCAGTTAGGAAATGTCGGCCTCATCATTCACTTGACAAAATTGACGTGTAAAAGTGCTGCCTTGTAGCCTATTTGTAGAAATAAATTCACTTGTTTCACTTGATTAACACTGCGTCAACCATTCGGCCAGTTTGATGAGAATTTACTCAATTTCAGCTATTCGACCGATCCACATTTTGATGACTTCGTCAAATAATGAAACCTAATTATAAGTTAAATGAGTGCGGTCAAATGCACGTATACTCTGTGTTAGTAATATAACTTTGACAGGTCTATTTAATACTAGTTCGTTGATCTGAGTATTGCTTATAACTTGGTGCCGACATAGGTCACTTATCAAATAAAATCTATATGAATATATACTATAGTGCTTGATCGTAACTTAAAATATATTATGTAACTAGAGAATTGTATTGTGAGCTTGATTGAAAAAAGAGTCACCTATGGGGATTCTTGTTCATTGTTCTCCATAGGATTCTACACTTTGGAATGAGCTTATAGCTTCACTTCATTTTTTTGTTGATGTTTAAACGTGTCGTTTTATTCTAATTGAAATAAATAATTTTGACTTTGACATATTGTTATTGTCTCCAGTGACTCACAAAAAGTGTATTTCTTTATTAAATCAGGAAATAAAATGCGTAATCAATTTATCATGTTGCATAAAACATTTACTTTTACTATTTAGATGGAATGGTAACGAAATCGATAGAAATACCCAATAAAAATCCAGAAAACAGACATGCAGTATAAATAAATCAGCGTTAACGACTGAACTGCTACAGATCACCATCGTGCATAAATTATAATAGCAATCAATAAACTGAACATCAAAACATTTGGAAAGTTACCGTTTATTCCTTCGTTGCTTCCCGTCATTACTCGGAACCCTTCGTCGAAGGCAAAGGGAACTTCGGACGAAATCTCTACGTCCGTCAGTTTGTTGAACTTAAACAATAAACAGATACATTCAAAGTCCAAGTTAAAAGATTACTGAGACTTAATGATTTGTTTCTTGAAGCTCTGGAAATAACATTCTAGTCTTGTTTGAGTTCGTTTCTTTGAAGGTTAGGGTTTATGTAGATTTTTGACTATGTAATATAATTATAAGACGCTTATAGTCCCTTAAGTGTCGCGAAGAACCTAACGGATAACCGGGGCTCCGGCTCGACGTGCAGGAGAAGGAACGGGGTGGTTTTTAGTCAGTAAGAGTCTGACACTCCCTCCCGCCTCACCAGGCGGGAGCAGTCATTCGATGATTATCCCCCTTAAAAAAAATAGTCCTTTAAGTCCCACTTTTTGTTGTCTTATCATTGCTTTTTCTGTGAACGAATGATTGCTAGAATGTGATTTATAGATTCACACAATAAATGGTTGATATTATTATGAATCTGATCTAAAACGGCGTTTGTTCGAATCTGAAAGTAATGTTAGCTTTTTAAGTTCTCATATGTATTTATAAACTATCAAACTAACAATAGCAATCATGACATTATCGAATATTAAGAGCATTGAAATATTATATGCATGTATTACAACAATCTTCAACCAATAATATAACTTAACTGCAAATGGCGTTTTACAAAGCGACAATCCAACTTGGGAGATTCCATCAGCATCGTATCTCAGGAATTGGAATTCTCCCAAACCATCAGACATCTCGATGTTCATGGAAGCGAGTTCCCGTGAAGACAATGCGAAATGCTCTGTCGATGTCCGATTTAATTAGAACCGGTCCATCGCATCCCATAGGTGTCGTGCGACGATTATGTCAGGTGATGCGAGCTTTGTGTAAGACTACTCAGCTAAATTAAGTCCATGTTTGTGCATTATTGAAATATTAGCTTCATCTGTAGTTTAGGTAGTAGGGTGAATGTTCAATTTCTTATTGTAGGCTCTTTTCCTATTTACTTCGTTAGTCTGATTGTAAATGCAATAAAAAAATGATAGTTTTTGCGATTGGGATATGCTTATTGGTCATTGATTCCTATCAAAACTGTGTCCTTACAGTTTTGTTTTTTCTTGTATATAAATCTCTGTTTTCAACTTCATGTCAAAAACGACCGAGCAAGTTCTTTAAAAAAGTAAATGTATATTTATCATCCTGTCCTATAATTCAAACTTAAACCACGAAGCCATTTTAATAGTATTTAAAAGAACACTTCTACTCCATCCCACAGTACTTGATAAACAAGCAAAACCTTTCTCAGTATAAGGGCAAGATAACGTAAACAAATTAAGGAACAATGTGCGCGCACGCTGCTTCTCTGCTTATTTTGATAATTCAACCCATATCTGTGTGAGAACGGTCCTAAATTTAGAACACCCTTTGTGATGTTTCCCATAAGAGAAAAGATAACATTACCGTCGAATGTTTCGTATCTAGATAAACTGGAATGTTGGCAAGTGAAAATTTTGAAATTATATAATATTATTATGTGGGTTTTATTTCTAAGAATTTTATTGTGAATGTGTGAATTTATTGTGGTAATTTTGGTTAAATGGTTAGTAATACGACTGCTGAACATGGGAGCTCTAATTCAAAAAATATTATTTCTTAAACTATCGATTACGCTCGCCGCAACTGAACATACAAAAACAATTTGAATCGTTACTATGTTGTTCTAACAATTTAATACTGACTTCCGAAGATTGAAAGGCAAAATATAAACAAACACAATTATTGTCAGGTTAACTTCAAAACACGACCAAAATGGTAAAAACACATACAAAAAATGACACTCTCAAAAAAGGTTGTTCCAAATATTCAAGCCTTACAAAGCTATTCTCACTTTGATCTTTTCGAATACACATCCTTCAGTTCCATTGCAGCGGAATACTGAAAAACTGAAACCATTCAACGTTCTAACAGCTATATCTAGAAACTTGGAAAAACTAACATGTCTGATCTTTCTTTTGCATTCATTCTCGACCAGTAACGGTTTGGATTGCAATGCATACAGACATGTCCCATTTTAGGGGCACGTGAATACTTATTTTGTATTTTTTACGATTTCTTTTGAATATTTTTAATTATTGCTGCTGTTGCTAGATTGTGGGCTCTTTTGGCAATGAGTAATTTATGTACGTGTGCTCAGAGTTTGTTGATTTGTTTCTGTCGAAGTATTTTAAAAATACTAATGTCTAATTTAATTATGATTGGTTTTCCTAAATTTCATTTCTAGTTTTTCTTTCCTTCTGAACTATGTGTTCTAAAATAGACCAATGTTTATAAACTGAGGTTTATTTACAAATTCGTCTCCAATGCAACTTTATTTTATTTCATATAGACAGAAAGCAAAACATTGAGCCCAACTATCTTCCAAACAAACAAACGACATGAATCATACTGTTCCCTCGATACGAGATAGATTCGTTCCTGGCATATCTGTTTTTATATTTTTTCTCTCCGTGGTGGCTGTGTAAACGGTACGCCAAATCCGGCCTATTTTTGTTACCGGCCAGTGAACCGATTCCAGCTTTGTTTTGATTTCGACCAATCAGAAATTCAATTTAGCACGGGAGCACATATAATCAAGATTTTTCTAGTTTTTATTTTTTTTTCACTTTTTTGATTCGAGAAAAGCGTTTGACACGATTTTTAATAAAAACTCGCTGAATATGTATTTGATTTTGGAATAGTTTGAGGTTTGTTTTGTCCGTTGTGTTTGCTTTAGGTTTGCGTTCTGTTTTTGAAAGTTTGTATGGAATTTGTTCTTTGTTGTTTTTAAAAATATTTTTTGTCTACAAGTTTAACGCCCTACGTGCCAGTTAAACAAAAACGATTCGGTTGCTTACGAGACTTAGATAAAAGACAAAATCATAAACATATTTTTTCATCACAGAAAATATTTCTGTTAATGTATTACTACTATATATTACTTTGATTGCAATAAAATATAGAAAAAATCTTTCAATTTCTATACCCTCATTTCGTTGTATTCACTATTTTTATTTTTTGGAATGTAATAAATATTCTACCAAGTAATTAAAATAAAATACAGCAACAGTATACACAGACTTTCTAACAGTACACAGTTCGATAAACATGGCTCTTAGTTTTCAATACAAGCCAGTAAACAGCATCAATTAATTTCCAATTGCCAGGCAATTTGATACTTGTTTTCAAATACTATTCATATTATATACAACTCGTGTATACAGAAAGTTAAATTATTCAGTTCTAGGAATGTCTAAAAACTAATGATTTTGGACATGGCAATAATGTTCATGTATAAAAATTTAAAAAATCTTAGATAAATAAATGAAAATTAACTAAAAATCGCGTGAAAATACTGAAAAGATCTACTAGTTTCGAGTCTTAGAGGGGCTCTTCCTCATTGAGCAGCGTTTTTAGTTAATTAAGTATGTTTCACGATGGTTATTATAAAAGCATAGCATTTCTTTGGTTTTGTATCTACAAAAACGAATCTATGGAATAAAAATTATAAATTGAGTAAAAATACGGGTGCAACAAGAAATTAATTATTAATACATATAGTCCAGCCTACGTTAAAGTTCTAAGTAGTCTCAAAATGATGATGTAGTAAAAATAACTGAGAAATCTTGCTAAAACTAAAATGTTTAGCAAAATAATATAAGATGAGTATTGTCCAGAACGTATCATTTTAGTTGTTTTTACTCGTAATCTACTCATAAAGGTACAAAGAATGAACAATAATATTAAACTCTTGACTGCCGGTATACAACACAAAAGAAAATACATTGTGTTTCCCGTGGATCTTGATGCGACGGGTTAATTTGACACAAATACCTTCTATAGCTACCTAACCGAGTCCTTCTAAACACAAAGTACTTCCCAAGACAACTGATTCGCCAATCGTAACTGATATTTACCGATTATCCTCCCCTCTTTACTGCAGCCTCGTAATGAGTCCCTCCCTTAGAATTACCGGTGGCTCTCGTAATTTACCAAACTGAGTCGAATCGGTAATTCTACACTGCACACTGGACCTTGCCTTTTAACTAGGCTCAAATAAATATCGTTTACTTCCTTGAGAAAAGTTGCAATAGATACTTATGTTATTGAGTTTTCTTAAACTAGAAAAAAGACTTGTCCTGTTTTGGAAAGATGATTGTATGGATATAATTTAACTGCCTCGTTGGCCGAGTGGTCGCAAGTGTCTGGCAGGGGGTCTCGGGTTCGATTCCCGGGTCGGGCAAGTACTACTAGGTTTAAAAAAATTCTCAGCGTTAGCACTGAGTCCGGAATTGTGCCCGGTATATGGCAATAGGTTCACCACCTATTAAATGGGACACATAATAACATAAATAATGAAAAGTGGATGTTATATTGTACAGTGGCATTAAGTGCCGTAATCTGCACCTCTGCTTACCCCTTCGGGAAATAAGGCGTCATGTTATGTAATCAGTTAATTATTGGGGATTTTATGACAACTGCTGGGATTTGCCTGGCACTAACGATTTAATTAGTTAATTCCGAATATAACACTGTCTGGTCTACAAGATATGAGGATAATTCACACCATTTAACGTGCACTGATCTACTAATTCTATCTTTAGTAAACAAAATTTGGCTATCCATTGTTACTCTGTACAAAAATTCTATCTTCATCAAAGCAGGATTAAGATAAAACCTTATAAAAATGCCTTTCATTCATTTTGTATTTCATAAAAGATTTATCTAAGAATTTATCCAAAATAATCTTAACAAAACTTACTTAAGTCAGCTCTTTTTAAAAACACGGCCGTCAGCTCCCAATCCTAAATAGGCACTCGCAGCAAAACCTTTCAACTTTTTAATTCCAGTTAAGAAACTTTTCAAGTAAGCGATTTAAGAAAACACTTATATTTCACCGGGAACCTTAGAAGAGGTAGCATAATTTCCAAAAAAAATCTAACCCTCACTTTGCTAATTCCGGAAACTTTCGCCGGGGTGTTCGAGGACACCTGTCGGCCGTTTCGGTAAACTTCGTAGAGATTCCCCCCCTTTTTTACTACCTTTTGAATCGTTTATCTCAGCGGTGCTTTGGGATGAGTGTATTTGAAACTTTCCGATTGCCCATTACGCTGTTTTTCTTTTTTTTTTCGCCGTCGAACTTTTTCGAACGCCAATTGTTGGGGCTTTGGCGAAAAAAAAAACAAATCGCTGATTTTCGGGTCGCGAGTTTATGGGCGGTTTGCTGCACGCTGTGACGTAATCAAGATTTTTTTGAAAATAGAACGAACATTTTTGTCCACCGATAAATGCATATGGCTGCAGAAGATGTACGTTTCCAATAGATGGATTTTGTTTCGTTTTCTGTTAGATATGTTGGGCAGTTTTTGAATAAAAATCCCGTGTTTTTTTATTATTATTTCGTTTCTATTTACTCGTACGAGAGCCATTTAAAACACGAGTATTTTCGAAACAATACTCCAAGCGCATTGTCTCGCTACGTCCTTAAACAATGGCTAGATAAAATATTTTCATAATAAGAGATTTTTGCTGAGAGAAACTTGAAATTGCAAACGTTATTAAATATTTTTGTAAGCAAAATACCTACATGCTGCAGTAATGCCTTTGTTTTATTGGCCTGATAAAGAGCTGCATGAATATTCAATTATTTTCTAGATATTCACGTAGTATTTCCGAAATATTCTCTTTCACGACTTTAATATATGAGTATGAGTATACATGAAATATTTCTTTAAATTTATATACGGAGAAATACCTGAGAACATACATAAATGATGCATTGATTTAATATGCAACGTTTTTATGTTATACTAGCTACTTCCGCGCGGTTTCACACGCTCTGCTCAGCTTTTATTGGTCGTAGCGTGATGTTTTATAGCCTGTAGCCATCCTCGATAAATGCGCTATCCAACACAAAAATAATTATTCAAATCAGACTTGTAGTTACGGAGATTAGCGCGTTCAAACAAACAAACAAAAAAAAACAAACTCTTCCGCTTTATATAACAGTATACCTAAGATTTACATCATTTTTGCTCAAGATATTCTTTATATAGGTGCCGAAACTATTACTATTAGGTGTGAAACACAGCATTATGATTCCTTCATCATCAATTTCCATATATCATTTTTTAGTGTGTTCTCCTTTTTCCGAAATTTCAATCCACATATTCATTTCTCGATTACATCACTTATTCTCACGCCAACAAAACACAATACATGCACAACAAAGCACATCGACCTTGCATTACTACATAAAAAGAAATGCATTTCCATATTTATTGTTAAAAAAGTCCAGTAAAATATAATCTTGATATCCATATAACCCGAGCAACGTAGCTTGGGGTCATAGCGACCCATTGTAGCCTACACACTGTCGTAACAGATAGATGGTCCGACCATTTGTCATAATCTTGCGTTGGATGCAGCAGTTTTGGAGGTTAGAATGTACATTTTGGTCTATGGATTATTTTGGGTACAAAAATAGGATTTGTATTGTAAAGATTGGGATTTTTGGATTAAAGTTGAGGTTGTCGTTTTGTGTAATTTTTTGGGTCTTAAATAGTTTGATGTGTGAATGTGGGATAATATTTTTCACGTAAATTGTACGTAATCCTACTTCTCTCGTCGCGGAGAACCTAACCGGTAACCGGGACTCCGGCTCGACCTGCAGGAGAAGGAACGGGGTGGTTTTTAGTCAGTAAGAGTCTGACAATCCCTCCCGCCTCACCCAGGCGGGACCAGTCATTCGACGATTTCCCCCACTAAAAAAAAACCTACTTCTCTCGAATAATAATTTATAATCTGTCTACGAACAGTTTAACCAAGGTCACATAAGGTATGCATTAATTGTTTGACCAAGATATCTCATTCTGTTTATCGCTTTTTTTGTAAATAATAATCAAGTAACTTCTTTGTCGTGTCAAGAACTTAATTCACACTTGGTATCGTGTACAGAACCCTAAAAATAACAGACCAATTTAATAGTACTATTTCAAACACCAATATGTCATTACATTACTAGTTCTGAGACTAGAGGCGCCATTATAATTTCATTCAATTTAAAAATATAACGGAGTTATTAAAACAGTTTATCATAGTCTAACCAGCAGGTCTGTTCTGGGAACATTTTGTGTACGGCCACAAAATTAATATTACCTTAAACATTGATTAATGGACGCGACCAAACAGGTCGACTTTGAAATTATTTGATTTCTGCCGACCTTTGTAATGGTATATATTTTGGTTACGATTCTATCTTGGATTTGTTCGGAAATGGAAGTACCTGTATTGCAAAATACATGATTGAGAAATGAAATAGTAGTTAGATTATGCTTTAATAAAGTTTTTTTACCTAAGAAAAACCCTAGAATTTTATTCTGTGTCCTTTGCCTTTAGAAACACAAATCCAATAAAGAGATCGTAGTGAAAATATATAATGTGCCTGTTAAAGCAATTTGTCGATCACATAAGTCACTTTTGGCCCGTGTGGAAATATTTTCACTGCCAATCGTATCATCATAAATTAAAGACAGGATTAAGGAAGCTACAGACAAAACAATATCTTGTTCAGTAACATAAAACGATGATAAATATCTTTAGTAAAAACTAACAACGCTCTAAGACATTCAAATGACTTATATACTAGAAAAAACACAAGTTATACTCATACAAGGAATTTGTCGACTGGTTAAATTAATATTACCTCATGTAGGTGTTTTGTTTCATTGCTAAAGTACCTCGACAGTGAGAAAATATGAGACTGTTTTCTACATAGATTTACAAACTACTTTAAGTGTGGCAGAGCCATGCTTCGACACAAATGGAGTGATACCACGGCCTCACAGAAAACCGACGTGAAGCAACGCTTGCGTTGTGTTTCGTCGTGTGAGTGAGGTTACCGGAGGCCCAATTACCCTCCCCTTCCCCAATCTCCCTAATCCCTGAATCCCCAACGATCCTCAAACTCCTAATCTCCAAAAGGCCGGTAATGCACTTGT